CCCTTGTTAATAAACATCTTCCTCATAGAACCCCCCAAACAACTGTCAATCTACATCAAAATAATTAAACCCCAGCTACCTAAAACCATGCTGTCAGTCTGCCTGACCTCAGTGCTAGGTGCCTCTCAACCCTCAGGTATTTTTAAAACAGGAAAAATACTCCTTCTATCTTTCTTTCAGAGGTTTTCAAAACGCAAACCAAGAAGAAGTATTGAGGTAATTGGATGGCTTCATCTAGAGAAGACATGGTAGCCGCTTTCAAGTTTGTAATGGACTGCAGTGAGGAAAGGATTAATCTTTTTCTGAATCCACTGAGGTAAGGATTAAGACCTTAGACTGCTGCAAAGGAGGGTCAAGTTATGTATTAAATACTCTGAATGCATAATAATGAATTGAATGGATTGATTGGGGGTGGTGGAGAATCTGCATCACCTGAGATCTTCAGGACCTGATGCAGACCTTGTCTGCAAGGGACAGGTAAACTTGGAGCAAGGATATGGAGAAACTGGGAAAGATGATTAAGTTGGCCTCTGAAGGTCATTTCTCACTATGAATAGAACCTTAGCATTAGATTTCTGTTTCGAGAAGATCAGGTCCTTCCTGAGAACCCAAGTAGAATAATCCAGAACTGAGTGAGGAAAGGGCTGAGCTCCCTTTTGCTTCATGCCTCCACCTAGGCAGATGTGAGGCTCGTCAGCATAAAGGTATGCAGCTCTGCTGCCAGCCACGCTGTATTTGTTTTGTTGCTAAACTGGAGACATCAGGCCTACCCTGTTACTTTTTGTGGCCATTCAGCTTTACCTAACCCAGCAGGAAACCTCTTCAGACACTGTGAGTGTTCAAATTTTGAAAGCAAACTACTTGGAAAAAAAAAAACAAACAAACCAAAACAAAACATCAAAACCCAACAAACCAAAAACCACTTCATAAGGTTTGTAGTAAGTGATAATTTAGGGCAAGCAGCACCTGGTTTACCTCAGGGAGCATTCATTTCTTCCAAAATATCCCAACAAACAGCAGAGATTTACTGACTAATTTTGGAAAAAAATCATCATCAGACTGTATCCTGAACACTAAACTAATAGGGCTGTCTGAGGCAATGCACATTTTGGGTTGGAAGAAATTATACATAATTTGGGATGCAACTTAAAGAGAGATCTTGAAAGATGTTGAGCAAGCTGTATCAGAACATGGCATCAACTGGAACAATATTTATTCTGTTTAAAATCTCTGAGCACAAGGAACTAGGAGATCTGGAGACAAAGCTATTAAAACTGTCATCTGCCAGTCATTATCAAGAGTAGCCCAGGTGATTGAACTAGAGGATGAAATCACCAGCTGATAACTGTATAGGTTATGTCAGTGGCCTCCCACCCCACTTGCTAAAGGGACATATGGGAAAGAGTCCATACCAGGGAAAGTCCCTCCACACAATTAGCCAACAGAGGAGAGTGGACTAGTGACAGTCAGCATCATCGTGTGTTCTTTATGTCCAGCTGTGAAGTTCTTCCAGAGAAAGGCATATAGCATAATCCCTGCTCTACTTGAAAGACAAGAAAATCTTGAACATGGGTGAAATGATTTACCTATGGCTGAAAAGTACAATAGGGAAATACTCCAACTCCTGGGTCACAAAAAGACTCAGACAAGAAAAAGGGAGATAGTATTTCTGAGTGTCACACATCCAAGTTGTCTCATGATATTGGTTTTATAGCAGGAGAAAATCCAATTCATGCAGAAGATGTTTTTACTTTTTAATGCTTGCTCCAAATTAACTACTGTTCCCATTTTTCACTTACTCCTTGTGGTAATCTCCTTATTTACACATCTCTCTCTCATATACACATTCTTATGCATAGGCAGATTCATCCCCAGTCAACTTATTCCCCATCCTACAAATAGCTCATAACATTAACAGTTCTTCCCTTCCCTTCCCTTCCCTTCCCTTCCCTTCCCTTCCCT